AACGCTATTTGGCCGTCTTTCCTTTAAATAGCCGAACTGAAATCAAGTCACGTTTAGCGACAGACGGGTAAACAATATTTGATTGTGCCCTTTTCTGTGTAATAAAATAATACATTATATGAAATTAATAATGATAATGGCCGTATTGCATGTTAAAGATCCATTTAAGTGTCAAACTATAGGCTTTTGCGAAACGCAGTCATCAATTTTATCACGAACAAAATGTTGACATAAAAGCTCAAACGGTGTACCACCTTTTAACATCAACTATCTACAACGCAGTGTTTCAGTTTTTGGTCGATAGCATATTTTGTATTAGTAATTTATCATTAAACATACCTATTTCGCGTAGCTAGTTTAATAGGTTAGCGCTTCAGATCCAAAGAACCAGTGTTACGGACAAAGCTATACTCGTACTCGTGTGTCAGTGATTTGGATATTATTATTATAATATAAAAATAATTAAAGACACTGATAGTTTTAACACAAACAAAACTCCGTGTATTGACAAATTTATGACACAGTAATAATATTTAAACTATGAACATGTTTCACCTTTTTGTAAGACGTGTACTGCCTTACCGACTGTTATTACTTATTACTGTTATTATTAAGGCGCAGTCACGTAGCTTATACATGAAGAGTGAAAGTGTCAAACGTTCCAAGTGCCAAAGTATAAAAATTGTACTTTATAATTTGATTTGTATTTTATTCATTACCGGAAACAATTTTGTAAATTTTTCAAGTAAAGAATAGTTATTTATAAAAAAAACAATCATATTTAAAACTCAAAAATATGTTAAAGGGTTTCCGATAATGAATAAAATACAAATCAAATTATAAAGTTCAATTTTTATACTTTGGCACGTGGAACGTTTGACACTTTCACTCTTCATATACTCATCAGCGTGTTCAGAATTGCCTAGACCGCGCCCCTGTACCATAAATAGAATTTCGATAACTTTTTTGCGCGTATGCTCATTTTATACTATTGCCTACCCATCGCGAAAGTACTCGAACATTCTAGATCACTTCAGTTTTATAAAATTGTATATTGTTCGTAAATTGTTAGATATAAAAAGGTCAAGTTAAGTTGAGGTACTTCGTAAAAAGTATTTAAACAATTCTGTAACACGATTATAAGTTATAACATGTGTTTTAAACAGCTATTTTAATAATTAAACTAATTTGCTTGTATAATATACAATGTGGAAGGTTGATGTCACGTTTTGAGTAAATCGTAGTAATTGAAAACGAATGGGCCATAACGTAATTCTAGATGACCATTTTTATTACTTAAAACAATATTGTTATATTAATTTTATTTATTTATCTTTTGCCCTTGTATCAATAAGTAAAATACAGTTTTTTGACGGTTGACGTGATGGAAAAATAATTCAGCCCCACTGTAATATTGATTTTTATGTCCCATCGTTAATTAATATCACATCTCTGGTCTCACGCCAGTCTTGTCGCTGGACAAGTTAATTATTTTAATACTACTACAACAAATGTTTACACTTCATTCCTATGGAGCAGTGTTAACAATAATAAAATGAGGACAACTTTGTTATGTATAGAATAGAACAACAGAAATTTCGTTTTATCAAAATATTCATATTTAATAAAATTAAATATTATTTTTAAAGAATAAGTCATAACTTACGTGAATTGTTATTGTAGAGTTTTTGGTCAACTCAGAATTTATCTAACTAGCCTAATTTTATATTTTAACAAAAAGTACTATGCCCAAAACTTTCGCGGGAGTGTACTAAACAACTTCCCAAAGTTTCATGGCGATCGATTCAAGGTCAGACACACACGCATACATTCATTTCTAAAAATATAGATTAAATATTTTAATACAATTAAATAAAAGGTTTTACTTTAAGCTAAGAATACATTTTCCACTATATTATTTATAATGCTTACTACAAAAGTGGAATAATGAATAATGATTATGCCTAGTTTCTACTTTATATTTTTAATATTACTCTAAGATATTATTATAACTTTGAGCGGATAAATAACTAAACAACAAGATGCAGGGAAACACAATTATACAACTTTAATGAATATTCAAAATATGTCGGTTTGTCAACTGAATAATTCAACATTATGCGAAACAAGTTAACGTTAAAGTTTATGCCGAACACAAATATGATGTTAACGAGAAAACCGTTCAACTATTTAACCACCGACTTTTGGAATTTAGAATCACCAAGATTAATGATATAATATACCTTGTCTAGATTTATTCATTTATTATTAAACAGTAACTAATCTACATTCTCTCGTGTTGTTGTCAATCAAAGAGTAGACTAATGTTGTTCCTTATTCCGCTGCCACAGTTTACTACTACTGCACAATAATTTTCTGCCTAACCAATTTATTTAATAAGTTTTCATAACGAGGTAAGTTGTTTTTAAGGATAAAATGGATTAATAGGCTTTGAATTTTACAAACTTACACAGTGGCATAGTGTTTAGAAATTGAGCGAACAGGAGTTTTATGTAGACAGTGTGTCCTTTTAGGTCTTAAATCTCGAAGTAGGAAAAGAAGGCGGTTAAGAACTAACTCGAAAAGGTTTCCAGTTTGACTTCGAGTGTTCGAGGTCGTTACGCCTTTAAGAATACAATTTTGGGATACAGTAGCGTGCAATAATATTACAATCATACGATTTTTTTAAGTCAGGCAAGTGTGCAGTAAAAAGATTATACAACAGTGTGCAACATACTGGACGGGATGAACCGAAATTGTAACATTCTCTTTTTACTAAGAGTTATGACTAAATACCTACCCTTGTGCCCTTTATATACTTATTTTTAAGCTGTTCCATTTGGAATTCCATACGGTCTATGTTGTTGGCAAAATATACTGCAAACTAAACCACTGTTTGAATTTATAATACCAAATTTTTGGTTGTAATTATTATTATTCATCGTGATAATAGTAAAAAGAAGAGTGATCAATTTACACAACAGCGTTAAGGTAAATGTTTTGTCAATGATAGTTATATTAGTTTTACAAAGCAAAAATATTAATAGTGTAATCGACTAAAAATATGTTAGCAAATTGTTTGATATACAATTAACCTATTTTATGATAATTAGCCAATTTTTTTTAAGCAATAAAATTATATGCACAAATAAAATAATAACATTGTAATGTTTACAGCATAACAACAGGAAAGTAGGAATTATTTAAAAATAACACCAAAACAATTTATTATTAAAATAAAAATGTGAATTTAGTCAGTCAAGTGATTTATGCATGTAGTTATACAGTACTAAAATGAAATAGGTCAAAACAATTGTAACTTTAATTATTATTGTTTTCTGTAAGTCATGATAAATACATTAGTATTATATTTTAGGATACTAATTTACGGCAAAAAATATACAAAGTTGGACCAACTAAAATTATGGTTATGAATATCCTAAGAACACAATAAGTTTATAGTCGGAATAACTAAATGAATAGTTCTGCCAACTAAATATTTAGTTATTCCAACTATAAATTTACCGTGTCAATGTAAATCATAGTTTTAGATGAGCCAACTATGCATTTTTCCGTGTTTATAGTTTTAAAACTATTTTGTGAAATTGATGACAATCTCTGTAAGCGACCGATATAGAATTATTATATTTTATAGTATAATTTGTGCTTGTACGAATAATGTTATTATTATTTACCAAATAATCTGATTTTACTTCTGGAAATCATATAGGTATGTATTAGTAACGGCATTTATGCTGTATAATAGTCAAGCCTTAATTGAATACCATACAAAACAGTATATCGTGCTATAGTTCATTTAAATACATGTACTGCGCAATAGTATTCATTTGGACCTGGCTACGGGCTGCCTTATAATGTATGGTTGAGTATACATACAAGACGATCAGTTGTCAACGTGGAAGCTAACATAGTATGAAATTTAACGAATAATAACCAATGTAGTCGAATGTGCTTGAACTTAGAGTAATAACACCTACATAAGTGTAACCGTCTACAACTGTTTATCGTGACCGGGTCATACCTACAGCACAGGAACTTACGTTTATTTGTTTGAAATTTTATCTTCTTTTGTAATTGGAAATAATAATAATTAAGTTAATTACGACACCCTAGTAATTGAAATTTGTTTCGTTAATATTTTCTCAATAGCGCGTAGGTCATCCGCTCAATTTTATATTATTCAAAAACCGCTAGTTATACAAAGCCTATCTATTATTCATATAGCGCCTGAGTTAATTGTAGTACATTTTTAATATACGCCTACACAATTAAATAAAATAACATTGTTATGGGACTGCCGCTACGCGACAACTGTTATTACTAATGTTATTTGAACAATTTATTAGTTTCCTAGAATATGTAATTTTCGATTGCATAACTTCCCCTGTCGGAGCGCACTCTTGACCCTAAAGTCCATAAGGTCTAACTTGTCCCTACGTTATCCGTCAGGCGCAGAGCCTAAAATTATTGCCAAACGCTCATATGCGTTTACGGAGTTTTGACGTTTGAGAGATTGAGTATATAGGTATTTATTACTATACAAACATCACATAACAATAACATTCTATTTTAATTTTAGTATGACATAATAATATTATATTAAACAAAGATAAATCATATATAAACTCTCTAATAATTAGTATAAGCTATAAATATGAACTATTTACAAGCTGATAGTTAAAATATAGGTTAAGAGCAAGTGTTGATTTGTAAAGAAGAAATAAAATTAAAAAACCAGTGGTGGGGTCGGGCATAGTGAGGACGGCGAGGTCACAGGTTTACAGGAATTTTTAAATCTGAAAGTGATATAATCACTTTCGAAAAAACGCTTCGATGCAAATCGGTAATTAATATTTTTAAGCCAGAACAGTCCAAACCAAGCACAATATAACCAGCAAAGTTAAAAAGTATTAAATTGAGCTGCTGTATTTACAAATAAGCATCAAAGCGTTAATTTGAAAGTAATTTTTTCCGAGAGGACTAGTACAGTAGAGTATAGGCATAATGGAATCAAAGCAACGAGGGGACGGAGAGGTCACAGGTCTATAGGAATTATTATAATTAAAAGTGATAAAATTGAATAAAATCACTTTCAAATAAACGCTAACTTAAAAACTCGTACGGTTTTTTTTTTGTTTTTTCAATTTTCGACTGTGAAGAAGTAAACTTTTTCAACTTTGACTCCCCCCCCCCAAAGTAACAACTAGATGAAATTTGTAATTTATAGAGTTGCTATTCGAAGGAATTGGTCCAGTATTAAAAAAGTTACAGCGTATATAGATAAAAAAAAGCCCACATCAGAGTAAAACCAATACCTTCGCCGCTCTGCATCGAAGCTAAAACAAACTATTTAAAAGATATTTCAAACAGGGTAATGGAATTAATGACTCACCTTTCCCCTCAAATACGACATATTTCAGTCATAGTACAAGTCGAATCAATTAAACATTAAAATGTAAAGTGTTATAGGTCAAGCTTAAAAGAAAATAGTGACCAATTTTAACCTGTTCGACATTACAAGTAAAGCGTTTACAGTACCAGGTTACCCGTTTTTTTGAAGAGCTCAGCTTGTTGTATTAGAATAACAAGTGTATTTAGGGTTGATACCATATTATGGTGGTTGTTTTTTAGTTATTTATTCTATAAATTATAAAAAATACTTTATAGTTTAATAAATAAAAAGTTGAGCAATCATAGTAAATTTACTGCTCTGATACATTTTGCTTTCAGTAATTAATTTTTAAAAATGTAATATGTTCTTTTGCACAACGTTGTATGTATACTTTGTACCTGAATTCTTTTCGATTTTTTCTCGAATTAACTAGCGTGCATGTGTATTAATAAAATTGTACTAATGGTGTTCCAGGTTAGGGATATGCTACTGCACACAAATTTAGAATACGGCCACTAGTGTTGCTATGCATTTTTTTTTATGAAGGACGAGAAGAGTTAAAGAATTCACTCGGTTCAAGATTAATTCTAACGGTACTCGTTACATTTTATATTTATTTTGTTTGTTCTTCATTTAGTCGATTGTCGTCATCTTCTGGCAGTTGACCGACAGCTTCTGACTGTTGCATCGAATACATGTCATTTTCTCGATATTCCAATTGTTGTTGACGCCCGTAGTCCGTCGTGGGATTACCTTCGGTCGGTTGTCCATCGTCCATTTGGTAACCCTGGGAATGGTTGTAGTCAACCGCGTACTCCTGATCCTTGGCCACCGAATCCGCATAGTCTCCGACACTCTGGTTTTGATAAAAGTAATCGTCAGTGGTGCCATAGCCTTCGTGTTCCCTCTGAGGAAGGTGCTCGTCGTACTCGCCTTGTGGATAGCTAGATTCTTGCTGCATGTCCCCATATCCACCCGTATCTGGATTATTTTGGTAGTAGTAATCATCTCCCTCTTGTTGTGGATGTTCTTCCTGATTATAGTGATTGATGGTCTGTGGTTCACTCGGCTCTGCGACGTACTGTTGATCAGATAGCTGTGGTTCTTGACCGTTAGTATAATTCCCATAGTCATAATATTCATTCCGCGTAGGTTGTTGTTCATCTACAGCCCCCTGATCACCTTGGTAATCGTAATAGCCGTCGTTGGTGGCACCTTGTACGGTAGAATAATCTTCGTATCGATTATAGTCGTCTTGTTGTTGCCGCTGATCCTGCTGTTCGGTGGTCACATAAACATTCTCCTGTGGTTCGGCGTAACGTTGCTGATGAACAGACGGATCGTTTTCGCCCCCACCTGCAGGGACGTCTCCATAGTAATATTGATCGTTGGAATATTCATTACTATCGTGGACTTGGGGTTCGTCATACTGTCGATCGACAGGTATAGGTTGGTTTTGGTAGTCTTGGTAATACTGATCATCCTGCGCTTCTTGTTGCCTTTCGCCGGACTGTTCATTGTCCGGATGATAGTAAGCTTCGTCTACATACCGTTCGTCGGCATGAGTTTCTGATCCAAACGGTTGGTAGTCGTTATTTCCAACAGAACTTTGGCGAATCAATTCGGACTCTCGACCGTTTCCAGTCATTTCTGGTTCGATGTCTTCGTGGTAACTATCCTTGGAATTCTGCTTAGGAATGCTCACGTCTCTTTTGAGTTGGCCCTGGTCGAAAACTGCGGTGTCCGGTAACATGGCCGGAACTTTGTACGTACTCGGCGATTGATTATCTTCTCCGGTACTATTGGTGTCATTTTTATAACTGTAGTTCCTATAGCTGCTGCTGTTTCTCCGATCGACCACGCTGCTATCGTCACCTACAGGCGACCTATCTGGTCGATCGTTACGCATGGTGACCGTTGACAAAGAACCTTGACCGTCGTCGATATTCTTCAAAGACGTTCTATTTACTATTTCGTCTGCCAAACTGGCATAAGACTTGGCTCCGCCAGTATCTATGGATTTTTCGTCAAAGCTCTCCCTAGAAAATTTGTCGGACTCGAAAGACTGACCCATACACTCGACGGTTCGTACGCCGGTTGTATCGGTTTTGGCCAAAGAACGTTCGTGTGACTTTATCCGAGGTGTCGTTGAAGATCGACGTACCCGATCTGCTTCGGGCTGCATAGTTTTGGAAATTGATTCTCTTTTAACTGCGCTCGACCTGCACGCACCGATGGTTTTTCCAGTTTCGATTGAACAGTCTTGGGAAAGTTTTCGAGGTAACTGCTCGTCTCCTGAATTGTTTAAGTCAAAACTTATCCGCTTGGGTGGCATAGCTGGTTTGTGTGTATAATCAGGTTTTTCGCTATTCCATCCGTCGTCAGGATGTGCTACACAATCATCGTCGACCAATGATATACGCCTCCCTTCCAAAGTAACACTGTTCTTAATCGTGCTTTTTTTTATCTCTTTGGCGTCTTGAATCTGAGGTCCGACCTGATGCTCTCCTTCTCTGGTCCGCCAAGGCCACTTGTCAACAAACCCATACCTGGGAGAACTCTCGTATTTAGCCATTCTCCGGCTCTCACGGGTACCATTTCCCCACACATAATCTCTGATGGTTTTTTCTAATAAATCTTCTGGGTCATCAGCATAGTTACAGCGGGACCGACTATAGTAAACTGGAGAAACGGGTCGTGTTACGCTGTATCGATAACCGTACTCAGGGTGGTCGTAGTAGTCATCGCCATGGTCATAACGCGTACGGTAAGGGTCGTGGTCGTTGGGAAAATGGTATCTAGATGGACGGTAGTAAGCAGTAGCCAAATGGTTTTTACGATCAGTGTAGCTCTCAGTGGTGGGGTACATGGGTTTCCGCTCGACCACTCGAACTGGCTTAGGCACTCTTGTAGACCAGCAAGGAGCTTCTTCTTCCGTATACCGTTCGACGGGTTTTCGCCTGTAAAAACGTTCGGCCGTGTGCTTAGGATACTGGGCTATAGGTCTAGATGCCGGAAAATAATATAAATCCTCGAAGCTTGGGGTCCGGTAGTTGACTATATCGCCGTATTTCTTCGGCACCTGCATTGGCACATAATACGGTTCGGTGTAATCTTGCATTAAAGGGTCAACGTACCGGCAACTTTGAGGCTTATACTCATCAAAGTTGTAACAGTCTGTATTAGCCGAATATGGACCAGTTATCTTCAAATCAGTGTCGTTGCGCTTTTTAACTCCTAAACCGTCGTCGAGCACTACATACTTGTGGTTATGCCCGATGCGTTTAGGGTAAAATGCATGTGTGCCGTATGTTTTTGGTGATAACCCCGATGGCTTAAGATCCATTGCACCCAGATATTTTAGCCGATGATGAATTGCTGAACCATCCAACAAAGAGTTTTGCTCTTGGATTGTCTCGTCCAGCGTTAGTTTGATCATTCTCACGTAGTTGTCGCATCGTTCCTGAAAAAAATGTGAATATTAAAGAAAGCAAAATCTCTAAATGAATATACGAAATGTATTACTTATTTAAGTTATTTTTGTACTACTTTTTATAAATCAGAAGTATAGACACTACGATAAATCTACATAAATTATAGTTATTAAAACTTTAAACGCAAAACAATTTTATAAAGGAGGTAAAATTATCATTTTGAAACCATAGTTATCAAAGAACAAGCCAGTTTAGCTTATTGAAATATCGATTATTTACCGGCGAATTTGAGATCACATTATAATCAAGTACCGTGAGTCCGAGCTTTACTCAATAACAGTATTTTTTAACAAGTTAATTTTCTTAATGATTTAATTATATGTGTTATGTTGTACAGTAAATGAAAAATTAGGCGATAGAAAAATTGCTTGGTGATAGCTTGTTCCACTAAAGTATAATATGTGAAATACAGTGGCTTTTTATATAAAAGAAATACATTTATTGTTCATAATATAATTAATGTTAGTAATTACAACTATGGTATGCTACATAATATAGTATGGTCCATTTCCATGTTATGTTCTTCTGTGGTCTACCGATTACCATAGTAACAAATAGATTAACAGTAAGACATGCGGCTTTACCTGAAAGTTACCGACGTTACCCAAATACGAGTAATTTTAACTCTTACGCTTAACTTTAGCAATTCATCGAATTTTCGCAAAAAGAGACTCTAACCAAAAAATTACTTATGCCCAAAAACTGTTAAATACCAACTTTTGGAAACTTCCCATAACTGGTCTTTAAGATAAAAAGTAAAAAAATATGTATAAACAATAATTACAGCTTGTATTATAGTATAGGTTGGGATAACGTTGGTAATAGTTTAAAAAAATAAAAAAATTCAGAAATTAAAAACATAAATGTTAAAATAAACCACAAAACTTTAAAATTACGTCTCTTTGAGAATTTATTAAATAATTACTAATGTTTCTTCCTTTTATCCACTAATAGGTTACTATATTTAACTACAAATTTATATGTTTATATTAATATATTCATCATACTATATTAAGTCCAAACAACTTGTTAAATGTAACAATTTATGTTGTTTTCCACGTGCATCGAGCTAATTATTTGATCTAAAAAAAGGCTACATGTAAAACAAAAGAAATTTAACGAATAAATTATTTTCAAATACCTGTTCAAAATTTAATTTCTCTCTTATTTTTGGGTTTTAAAAAAATTTGCTACAGATATTTTTAGAAAATTGTATATGCTAGAGCACCATTCTAGGTCTAATTTTTATACCTTAAATCCTAAAACTATCTAAAAAAAAAATTCTACCTATTCTAGAAGAAAGAGTTAATGATATTTTTTTGGTTTGTCAACGTTATCGGTAGTATATTGTCTACAGAATATTCCATACAAATTTAGGTCTAATGCGACGACTTTTAAAGAAGTTAGGTTAGAGCTGTAATTTCAAGATGAAATATGTATAATTTTTGGGGAATTTTTTTCAATTTTAAAGGGGAAAGAGGTAAACTTTTTTAGTTGTTGGCCCATTAAAGTTCCTTTCAGGTACGATTTCTGATCTATAAAGTTACTACAAGAAGAAATCGGTTAAGCAGTAGAAGATACCCTAGGTCTAGACCTAACTAAAAAAATAAAAACACATTAGTACCTTCCCAGCTACGGATTGAAACTAATAAACGGTTAATTTTTATTAAATTACAATATACTCATAGAATTAAAAAAAAAAAATAATAATAATATGTATTTTATAATTTACTATATTTAATATATAATAATATATTTAACTGAAATGTTTAAGAACTCCTCATACCTTCTTAAAATTGTATAATATAACTCTATGCGTAATGATATGATATTCTCAAAACTTGCAGAAAATAAATGTTACTGTACTGTCAAATATTGTTTATAAATTAGTGACTTGGTAACTCTGATTCATGAATCAATATTGATCAAACTTTATTTTGTCAAATGTACGCTAAAGACCAATAAGTAGTTATCTCAAGTTAAGTAAATCATAATGGCCAAAACCTATGATATTTTAAAAATGGCGTTTCAAACTCAGCTTTATTTTGCTTTAAGTGCACTAACTAATTGTTTTTTTTTGTGGGTATATAACACATTATTTGTATAGCATTAGAATGACTGTGTATTGTTAAATATGATCAACTGACCCTTAGACTTCGCATTCTGTCGATTTTTTCGGCCATCATTCCAAAATTTCTCTGTATCACGTCCATTTAGATTCATCTAATGCTGTTGCTTAATCTTCGGGACTCCACTAGAACAAAAACAAAACATCACAGTTTGTATATGTTGGTACCTATTATTAAAATATTATAACGAACGTGGCACGGTTCAGTACATTCAAACTGAAAGTACCTAAAACTAATTTTAAATGACACAACCATAATATGTGCGTTCAAGGAAGACACCTTCTCTACATTGAACACGTCATCATCGCTTAACGTGAAACATGTCTTATGAGATGGGAGATGACGTTTTGAACTATGAGATGTTTCATAACACATATTAAACACTAATATCAGCTATAAATTCTACTAAGTATGTGTAAACAAGTATCCTATTATGAGAAAACTAATACTGCATGTTGGCGTTTCATAAGTATACTAATACTTATACAGAGTGATCAACTTATCGTGAACCACTCAATATCTCACTGGGTTAAATAAAAATTGAATTTTTTTTGTTTCAAAATGTTTTTAAACAATGTGATCTCAATTTTCCACATTTTTTTCGTTTTTACCCTACTCCTTACTTAGTTTTTTAATAGAAACTTTATAGGTAGGATGGGAGGGGAAGTGCGGTTGAGAAATGCGCGCAGATAAAAATAATATTATACTCCACCTTTCCACCTGTCCTAAACTTGAAACTTCAATAACTTTAAAAATAGTTAACTAAAACTGGTTATCAACCGTCAAAATTGTTAGTACATTATCCTCAATTTAAAAAGTTAATGAAATGTATGCGTTACCATTTAAGTTTCAAAAGTTGCTATCAAAAAAACTAAGTTAGGCCCCCTCCCAACTTTCCCCCCCTGGAAAAGCAAAAAAAATGATGAAAAATTCAGGTCACATTACATAAAAACACCATGTAAAAATAAAATTCAATTACTAATTGAACCCAGTGAGATATTGAGTGGTTCACGATAAGTTGATCTTGTATTAAAATAATTTCAAAACGAAATTAAATCTTTCAGCTTATTTTAATGTTATTATTGTGAAAAAGACGGATAACAAAAAAAGAAATACACTCTTTACCGTTTCTCATTTCACTTCACACAAATATGCAAACGTGACATAATTAAATATATTTACAATAAAAACAAATCACACGAAATACGATTGCAATTTCTGACCTTTTATGATGTAAAATTGAGCTAACAATTTCTAATAGGCAGACTCCTTCAAACTACAAAAAGAAGGTAATACGTTAATGATACTACATGATTCCTACACTACCTATTAGCAAAAGATAACATTTAACGAGAAAACTGTATTTTCTCTGTGATCTAGTGTGACAGTTTGTTTAATAATAATTCAACTTAAAACAAGAAAAATAAAACTATTAGTTGTGTCTACATAGCTTCGTAGTTAGTAGTAGCAGGAAGGATATGCTGGTGCGAGGTAAGTTGTGATGGCGTGTGAAGCGAGGAAAATATGACGAGTATAATGATAATAAGAATAATTATCATTATCGTTATTAGAGCGCGTGTTTTTGTTGTTTAATATTGTACACCCACCGGTAAAAGAAGTTATTGGAGCTGGATAGGTTTTTCGACAACGTTTGTATATAATGATGTGATTATCATTAATTCACGACAAAACTGCAATCAGGTAAATGAAAAAAAAAAAATAAAAACGCGAACAACCAAGACGAGAAGAAGAAAAAATTGTAGACGTCGACTTACGGTTCCGACACGGAGACGGGTTTAAGGAAAACTGAGGCCAAACACGAGTGGGTTTTTCGGCGAACAACGAAGGGTGGTATCGGTCCGTCGTGTCAGTTGTAAAATATATATATATATATATATGTATATATAATATAATATAATTATATAGGTATTATTTACCAGCAGCACTATGCACACCGGTAACATAGGCAATGGCGAATCGGCTGAGTTGCCATTCCTCGGTGCTTTTGATGCGTCGTCACCGTCAAAGTTCCGAAAACACGAGATACGATGGCGACAACGACAACCGGCAATTACTGTGTCAGCCGTTTCGGGTTCGTCCTAGCTTTTTTTTTTTAATTTTTTATTTGTTAACAAGTGTATCTCATGCATCCGCGGGTACGCCGCAAAATCACAAGTAGAATCGCGTGCGGCAAACAAGACACGCGACCCCAACCCGCGATGGCGCACCGCTAAAACTTTTTATGCATTATACCACACACACTCTGAAATATAACAGTTGGTAAGCGCTATGCGTATACCTAGCAATAGCCGTGCGGTAATAACATATAAAAAAAAGGGAAAGGTACGGAATTTCGTCGTCCGCGTAGTTCGTGCATCATACACAACCGTACTATTATCATTGTTGTTGTTATTATGATTTTTGTGATTATTTCTTTTTTTAAATTCATCATTCGTCGATAGCGTGTTTGCGTTTTTCCATAAGCTTTTCGCATTTTCCAAAAAACGTCGACGCGACCGTGACTGTCACCGCGGTTCCTTACTTAAGCGCACGTCATTTCTCGCTTTATAACATATTATATCGGGCACCGATCGAGCACGCGTACATTCTTGGTCCGCCCGCTTTGTGTCATCCATTTTGTTAGTCACCGTTTATCTATTCGTTGCTTCCTTAAGGAGTTTTATACTAGAATCTGACGTGGTAATCCTACTCCAATTTGCCAAGAGGCTGTTAGTGTTTATAATTCATACCAATTCACTGCCTCGTTAAGGATGATCGAATGGCCTACGTTTGGCTAGGGTCAGCTTTGGTTATGATGTTTGCATACGGCGCTTTAAGTTGGAAAACCAATCGCAAGAATCGTTAGCGTTTTATATAATTTAAAATTAAAATTAAACCGATAATAATTATTATACCGATTACAACATGTAACATTCAATTTTCTATAACTAGTTGCAAATAATTTATCGAAAATCGCTTTTGAAAAATCCTAGATAATGTCTCGAACTTTCATTTCCTATGGATATACTTTCACGCTAAAACTGCGCAGTTTTACAGAAAAGTGCATGTGATAACGAAATCACATATATTACTTATTCTCTCATTAAAATAATTTATTTAAAATGGTCAACATTTCATAACTTATATTCACTATGCGTTAGTAGGTACTGTAGATAAAATACATTAGGTATCTGGTGCCCCCCCCCCTCTGCGGGACCCACCTTGTCGTGGTGGAAGGGCTCACAGGCTCTTAATCGAGTCTATGCCAAGCGGTCCCAGCAAAACGGCCTACCTTAATTGGCTGGTATGCATGTGGTCCGCCTTTGGACAAAATAAAGCACTACACTTTGGCGGTTATAATAATAACCCAAAGGAAGGCCACCTTATAAAACCGATTATGGAAATTTCTAAAAAAACAAAGTTACCTTCCCAGAGGGTTTGAAGACTCAGAGGAAGGCAGGAGTCGTGGAGACGATGGGGTAAAACCCTGACCTAATGTAGTGGGTTCACTCTGGTCGTCATTCAGTAACCGTGAGTGATGGAGAATCGAGCAGAGTAGAAACTAATGAAGTAGATAACGAAGCGTTGGTCCGACTGAAGCAATTAGAACCATTTAGTTTGGGTGTAGAGATGGATTGGAAGATGATGGAAATGAGAAAGTGGTTAGAGGCACAATAGTTGTACTTAAATAATAAATAATTTATTATTTAAGTCATGTGGCAGCACTTGTCAAGCACTTAAGGAGTGCGTACACGAGGCGAACCTGGAGGAGTTATGCCCAGTACTAAATTGCATAAGAGATAAGCTTTGTACAATGGACCGGGAAATAGTTGACATGACCAACCGTGAACACAAAAGGACATATAACGAGAAGAAAGAAATTGAAGATGAACAGCTGAGAATGTGGGTCTTGTAATGTACAGGGTTTGGAGGACGATGACGGGGCTATAAAAGACGGCCTGCGCCTCGGGGATCGGGCTGTTGCTGTTGGATCCGCTTACACACACACACGTATGTGGTGAATTGGCTACCTTGTCTGTGCCGCCACCACCGGTTTACGGGATAGAGTTAATATAACGTTTTTCGATACACTCTCGCTCGTTCTTCTGTCCGGTGTGCGCATCGAACGTTTTGGTTCCCGACGTGAGCGCCGATGTCCATCGCCGCCATATTAGCCTTCGCCTCATGGTCGCTAATTAGCAAAAAATCATTTGTGTTGTTAATCGTCCTAACGATTCGCGCGTGCCCTTGTACGCATTATAGTTAATCGCCCTAGCGATTCGCCCGGACTACACATAGTCGTGTTTTGTTGAAATCGCCCTAGCGATTCGCTCGTACCTCCGTACGCATTATAATAAAATCGCCCATGCGATTCGCATGCACCCTGGTGCATAATTAGCTCGCCCAGCCGACCGGTGGTGTGTGTGTCGGAAGATTCATATGTGTTGTCATCATCGAATCAACGTCAACCCGTGCAAATAATCAATGGTCGATAAGTACCATCTATTATAATATATTTGTTGTTCTATATTGTTGCGCCGGATGGCATTAGATTATAAGTATTCTCCCCCCTGTCCCCATTATTTAATAATTTTACATTAATATTATCATTTGTTAATACATACACTTTTATTGCATTTAATTTCTACATATCTATTTATTGTTTAGTACCATCTTTTATCCATACCATACAGTCCACTTTATCCCCCTTTATCTTAAGAATCCTTTAAAAATTGAACCACGCTATAATCCGACCCAACCCGTCTATAGATATCCGGGCGGTCGATTAAACAGTTGCAGATGACCCGCCTTAAATCAGAGGCGAACGGCGCTAAAGAGATAGGAAAGATTGCTAACCATATTGCGGAATTAATACACCAACTGAGTACAATTGGTCACAGCGCTCAACGATCTGTGGGCGATTTTTTTTTTTTGTGGAAGAAAAATTACGGCGATGCAAAGGGGCACTTCACCCTTGTGGGCGTTCCTTCCCCTCGTATCAGCATCATTTATTGATTTATTAAAATATAGCCACTAGGATTAGGTCGTCGAATAACTATGGAGGATTACAGTTCAAAATCGCCCTAGAAGCTCCTGAACTTCGGGAGATGGTCGAACAAATGGG